CCATTGGTCTGGACATCCCATGAGCGCAGTTAGCTTTGGGCTTGGTATTCAGGAGGTGGCTGACATTCTATAAGGGCTGAAGAAATATTTGTCGGATGACTGAAGAAATCAGTACGTGAATCAATGGAACATTGAAGGGAATATCTATCAATCATCTATTTTGCGGTACTGGGGAGTGAACTCAGGGCCTTTGCGCTGAGCTACATCCCCAGCTCTTTTTAAAATTTTGAAACAGGGTCTCACGGAATTCCCCAGGCTGGGCTCTAACTTGTGATCCTGTCTCAGCCTCCCAGAGTGTTGGGATTATAGGTACATACCACCACACCTGGCTCCTTAAGGGGAATTTCGAAAATGAAAGCTTCTCTAAGTTACAGGTAAAATTTAATGAGGTCTAGTGAGTCAGTTTTGCTGTGTTCGCTTCTGTAAAATGCAGTCCCTTTTTGATTTCAGCGGGAGATGAGTGGGCTTGGTGATGGACAGCTCCCTGGGGCACACTGGCTTGCTTTGTTTTGCCCCTCCCTCCCTTCACTGCTAGTCACAATTCCTAAACCTCGCATCTCCCCTCTCAAGACTTCCATGACCAGAGTGATAATCAGCGTTACATTCTACATTAACATGCCTAAGTGGGGTCCAGGGGAAAGTGGTTTGAAAGGAAATATTACTGTGATTGTTTTGTTTCAATCTGGCATTCAAAAGCTTCTTTCGGTTAACTTTTTATCCAACCCAAAGGAACTTGAAATTAATCCCATAAAGAATGAAGGCATCCTTTGCCCCGCTGAAGTGAATTAAATGGAATGCAGAGTCCCGGCAAGAGTACAGCGAGCCGTGTCTGGCACAGCCTGGGAAGGCTCGGGTCGCGCTCCACGATGGCGTGGGGCTTCGAGATGTCCTGCCATGGACAGTGATGACGCCCTGGCCGAAAAGGATGTGTCCTAGTATTACAGTTACAGTGGGAGTAGGGGTCCTGTATCCTTAGAATTCTAATCTACACAACTGCTAAGTGTAGAGGACGGGGAATTGAATAATTTAATTCCTACCTGTGACCCACAGAAGCACTGAGTTCCTGAAACATGACCTCATCCAGAATGAACATCAGTCACTTCTTCAACTATTTTTCCAAGCGCTTACCTCCAGAAAGGCATGGAGAGATCGGATGACAAGTCTTAGGGTAAATTCTGCTACTGGAAACAAGTTGCCCTACAGCATCTGAAATCCTGCAGGCATAGGACTTAGACTTTTAAAATGATAGAGGCAAGACAGCAGAGAGAAATCCATAGTTCCAGGGAGCGAATCTAGCATAGAAATCTGGGTCCACTGTGCAGATGTCACCAGCCTGACCTTTGGGAGGCTGAAGCTTCCGTTTATCTGCTCTCCAAATGCACTCCCAGCAAAATGCTACTGGAAGTGTGCTGTGATGAATGTCAGCACGGAGTTGTGAGGTTCCCATGTAAGAGATGAAATGGAATCCCAAATTCCTCATCTATAAACTGATTAAAATTTGATGTTACTTAAAAATCACAGCACTCCCTAGGGGACAGGCTAATGTCAAATGTAAATTCATATTATATTTTGAAGAGATGTAGATAGAGACTAGGCTGGAGCTCATCAGTGGGTTGGGAAGGAAGAGTCACTGAGATCAAAGGAGAGAAGGGTGTGTTTCCAGAAGAAGCACATATAACTATGTACCAGTACACAGTACTCGATAGTGTGATAGATGACTGTTACTGTTTTAGGTACTCATCATAACATGCTGTGCTTTTCATCCTTTAGAGCATAATCCTACTGCTATAAAAGAGTTTACTGTAAAACAGTGTGCTGCTATGCCAGTGGTAGCCTCATGTATCTCGTGTTTAACTACATATTTGGATAACATCAAGGGGCCATCACAGATGATTGACATACACCTTCTCAGTTTGCACTTAGAAGTTGGCACTCTGTGTGGTACTTTGCGATACACACGGATGAAATTGCCTCATAACATATTTCTCAGATTATATTTCCATCACGTGTCACATGACTGCATTGAAATTTAAATTAAAAAAATTTGGCCTATGTGGAGTCTACTAATTAGAATTTTTTTCCAGGCCACTATTTGTTCAATATTAGTTTTGAAAATCCTTCTAAAACAAATCACATCCTTTGATGTCTTCTTAATGCTTGAGATTTTTTTTTAATTATATGGAAAAATGTTTAAGTACTTTTCAGTTTGCTTTGGTTGAGTTCTATAATATTTGAATATTGTTATAGTTTTTTTCCCTTGCATTGCTTTTCTTTGAATAATTTTAATTTTTGTATATGTGTGTGTTTAGTGAATGATAATAAAGTTTTTAAAATTCAAAAATGATAATAATTGATTCTAGAAAAGTACTTAAAAATACATGAAACAGGGCTGGGGATTTAGCTCAGTGGTTCCACCGCCTGCCTCGCAAGCGCAAGGTCCCGAGTTCAATCCCTGGTACCAAAAAAAAATACATGAAACAAGATCACCGGATATTCATCCTTTTGTTTTGGGATGAATCCCTATGACCTAAAAGAAAATACATGTAAGACAAGGTCGCCATCAAGTGTACTGGTGAAGGCCGGTCACGGCTTCTGTCAATCAGAAGGGCTGAAAACTGTTGTAGAAAGCCAAGTGTTTTCTTAAAGTAGTTTTCTTTCTTTTTGCAAACACGAGAGGAAAAAGGCCATTTTATTTCTTCATTATTATTTGCCATATTCCTGACGGCTCAGAAATGTTATGCTCCCTTAACCATTATCTAAAAATGGGGGTCTAGGTATCAAAAGTACTTCTTTGGAAAAAGGTGTAATGTGGAAGAAAACATTTTTATCAAGAGAGTGTAAGGACACTGAAGAGCTATTTTTTAAAAGAATATCATCGTGTCATTGTAAGCTCTCTTAGAAAAACATATTCTAAAAGATGAAGACATATTTCCACTGCCCTTGCTACAGAACTATCACACTACTGCCAGTTTACTCTCTGTCTGAAGGACCAGTTATCTCGAGAAAAGGGGCCTCTTGTATTTCCCCAAAGATCACATAGCAACTATTACCATGCTAGATAATGGCTAGAACTAAGAGAAGTTTTGTACACAAAGCTTTAGGTCTAGAGCTATGGCATAGGGAAAACAAATTTAGACATTTTGCGTATCCCTTCACAAGTGTGAAATCATTTCATTTCCCTAGGTTTTAGAGAAAACATATTTAAAATGCCACAAAGATGTATAACAAAACATAACACTGCAAATATTAGCTGTCTCTTTCCTTGAAATATAACTTAAATTTGGTGACTAGGACAAGAAAATGTCACATTCCTTTCTCTTGCTAAGGAAATTGCATATTTCCTTGTGCAAAAAAAGACTATGCAGTCTTCAAAAGAGTGTATGTGACAGTTTTAAAGTTGTTTTGTTTCAGGTTAAAGGTTTCTATAAATTTTCATGATTGTCTCCAAGTTCAAAAAAAAAAAAGAAAAAAAAGAAAAGAAAAGAAAGGAAAACAAGCTCAGGCACACAAAGTTTTGGTTTTCACCAATGTTAAAAGACAATTTGAGGTATGTCATAATCAAATCTACCTTAGAATGGACACACTTTCGATTGTTGCTTATGCTTCTATCCCTGCTCCGCAGTATTCAATGCACAAAGTTAATCTCTTTCCTTCCTAAGATCTGTGAGGCAAACAGATGTGTGACTTCCTAAGTGGGAGCTGGAGTTACAGAGCTATAGATGAACGCTCAGGGTTTGGTTTCAGGACGAAAGGAGCCATAAGCCTTGGCTGAGAACATTAATTTCACTTGGGAACACAGCAGTTCTGGAAGCAGAAAGCCTCTTTAGAAACACAGATTAATCAAATTTCCAGAATTTCACTACCATGAAATGAAAGAAAAGTTTCATAGTCACATCAGGTACTGTTTTAAGGGCTTCCTATCCATCTGCTCACTTAATCCTCACACTGACCTCACGTTAGGCCAGAATGGCCATTGTCTCCGCTGACAAAGGGGGAAACTGAGGCCAAGGAGTCCAGGATGGTGGTAAATTCACACCCCTTTAGGTGGCAGGTCCGTGCTCAGCTCGGAGGGACATTGGGGCTGCCTCAGCTTCCTGCCGGGGAGGGGGTGGCCAGCTGGGAGGGCCCCCGTGCGGGCTGGTTCTCCTAAAGGCTGGGCTGCTTCCGAGTTCGCAATTTGGTTCCAAGTGCATGGATTTAAATTCTCCAGGAGGCTAAGCAGATGAGTCCCCGAGGGAGACAGGAAAGTCCCCAACACAGGCCCCCTGGTTCCAGGAGGGCACCTGCCTGGCTGTGGGCTTTGCAAGCTCTGCCTTGGCTTTCCTAGGCTGGGTGTGGGTTCCAGACATGAGAGCTTCCTGGGGTGCCAGGGAGCAGAGGGCAGCAGGCCACTGGGAACGCTGGACGCCTGCTGGTAAATGGGCTCACGGGGAGGAATCCACACACGCAGAGGGGTGGATTTGTTTGTGGGGTCCTTGTTTCACCCTTTTGTTAGCTTCATTTTGTTGATTCATTTCCCTCTCATTATTACAGTACAACTAAAGTGTAGTTCTAGAGTTTGGAAAGTATATTTATTTAACTCCTAATTTTACTTAACAAAAAGAGCTTGCTTCTGGATTCAGAAGGTTCTAATGGATCCCCTCTGTGAGAATTAATTTCTTTAACCAAAAATATACATATTAGTTTAATCATCATCAGAAAAAACTAGAGTACATTTTATCACAATGAATGTTAAATACAGTATTTTCCTATCCCATATATAACTTATTAAAATGTAATATAGCCAAACTACTTATAATGGAAAATTTTTAGTTTCTGGCTAACCCATCTATAAAAATTAAACCAATTTGATCATCTGTATCAGAATTTTCCTGTATTTCAAATGCATGTACGGAGTTTGTATAAGCATGTGAACATACTGCTACCATCATTCACTACAATAACTCTTCCTTTAATGGTTTCCACATTGTAAAAGAAATTCTTAATTGAACAGAACTCACCTTTTGCCCATTCATCCCTGGAATCCCAGGTGCTCCAAGAGAACCCTAGGGAGACACAATTAAACTAGGTTGACATCACAATCACAAAGCATTTCAAATCTACATCCATATTACATTAGTTATATCAGCCGTAATGGTATCTTGCTAAAGTACTTCTATTAGAAAAATTCTAAGAGCATGTTTTTCAGATCTTTCTCATTATGTTCAAATATTATAACGCAGTCAGATCCTTCAAGTTTTCTCAGAAACTAGAGTTAAAATTTAACTCCATTCCCAAATACACACTTCATCTTAATATGATTTCAAAGGATTTAAGTTGAGACACACATTTCAGTCAAGTGTTATCATTATGTATATCTAAAATGTACCAATAAATGTTTTGCTTAAAATAAAAAGAAATAAAGCTAGGTGTGGTGGTACACATCTGTAACCCTAGCACTTTGGGAGGCTGAGGCAGGAGGATTCAGGTGTGAGCCCCACCTGGACGACTTAGTGACTTAACAAGACCCTGTCTCAAAATAAAAAATATAGACAGGGCTGGCAATGTGGCTCAGGGTGAAGGCCTGGGTTCTGTGCCCAGTATCGTAATAAATAAATAGTTTTAGTTACAACAGGAACAAGTCTCTCAGTGACTGAATTCTTGAATTTCACAAATTTATATATGTAAACGAAAAGTATTTGAAATAACAACTGCTTGTTCCACAAGTCCATAAGGGAACCATGTTAGAAACTTAAATGCCTTGTGTCCGGAGCATTTTCTCTTGGCTTCTTGGGAGCATGCTGCAGTCGCTGGAGGGCCAGTCCCATAGTTGGCTCAAACAGGTGCTACAAACGTCACACATGGACCAGGAACAACGCAGGTTCCATCCGACAGGGTGAAAGCAGGTGTGTCAGGTGTGTGCACCTGCACCAACACGGGCGGGCACACAGCACCGGCCGGGGAGGAGAGGCCGGCGCGGATGGGAAGGGGTGGGACTGAAGCAGTAATTACTCCCTGAGAAGGTCCAGCGGGTAAGCGGATACAGGAACATTAGCAAGCATGATGTCATCTTCCTCTCCCAAGCCTCCTTTTTAGGCTCTGGAGAAACCATTTTTAAATACAATGTGCTTATTCTTTGCCTAGAACTAGAAAACAGATTTTTCCCCTTACTACATGTATTATTAAATTTCTTTAATAATGATAGGAAAAAGCTTTTAAAAATAGTAATGATAACACTGTTCTAAATATAGTAATTATGTGCAAAACCAACTGAGAAGGCAAATTCCTTCAAGCTCGAGATGTTGGAGAGGAGGTCATTAAACGACTTCTGGAAGCCTGAGCAGTAATTTGACTCTGGCTGAATGTGGATTAGGGCAGCTTTACAATTTCACACCATGCTTAATGGAGATGTCATTGTGAGGGACAAAGTCTTCCTACACACAAGGTGTCTCACTACTCACTGGCTTTGGGTTGGTTTGTAGGATTATGTTTCAACAGATGCCGCATGCCCACTGCTTGGGGGATAAAAATTCTCTATCTTTGATGGATTCCAAAGATAAAGAATAATCACTTTTCCACCTGTTATAATCCAATTGTTTTCTTTAGTTTCCTTCAAGTTGCAGGGTGGGAGGTTGGTGGGGAGTGGAGAGCAGGCAGTGGGGACCTAGTGATGTGTGTCGGCACAGAGCCATCTCCCTGCTGGTGACACAGTTACCACTGCGGTACTGGTGCAGCTTCAGGACTCCTAGATCCGCCCATCACAATGTCATGGTCAGCTGCATTGAAGGACAATCAGGAAGTCACATTTCAGGTTATCGGAACAAAGGAGGATCTTGGCAGGCACCTGTCACACTGCAAACCAAGCAAGAAAACCATCCTTTGTTCTGACCAGTTCTGCGGCCATTGGCAATTACACATTTGAGCCAGGCCATGAATTCAGTTTTCAGTGTCTTATGATCCTTGAGATTTCCAGTTTTGTCTCAAGGTGTTACCAGTATTTGAATTACAAATTCAACAACCTACAGGCTTAGCACTCAGCCTAAGGAGTTCACTCTGGATACAGTGAATTTTCTGCAGTAGAGCTGATTAGATGTCTCATGCTGCATTCCAAGGCAGTGTTTTTTTAAAAAATTTTTTAGTACCGGGGATCGAACTCAGGTCCTTGCGCTTGCCCAGCAGGCAGCGAAACCGCTGAGCTAAATCCCGGCCCCAGTGGCTGTATTTTTAGAAAGCAGAATGTGCAAAGCAGAACAACTACTCAGCGTGGCTTATAGTAGCTCACTTCCGCCACCGAGCAAGGGAGTATAATTACTTTCCCAGAACTGTTGTATACTCTACCTTTTGTCCCAGAGGCCCCAGAGGACCCTAAAAAAGAAAAAAATAAACCTCAGTCAACAGAAGACAACAGTCATTTAAGCTAAGACGACCAATTAAAACTGTCCAGTGCCGTTCTCTTGTTACCCTGAACTACGCAGAAGTTCAGGGAAGATTTTCAGTCAGATGAACAAAACGGATTTTAAGCTATGTCACTCTTTTGGGAAGAAGCACATGCAGTGGAGTTCTCATCTCTTCCCTGAGAACGTTCGCTGTACCGTGCACCTGCGTCTGAATACCGGCAAATGGGTCGTGCCCATCTCACTTAGCGGGCTGGGGCTTGTGCTAGAAGAAGTTAAAATGCACACAGTGCCCAGCAAAGCTACGTGCTCCAAGACTTCTGCATCTGCAGGCCTTCAGGAGGCAGATTTGCAAATAGCTGCATAGCACCACAAAGAAACACGTTCGGTTCTCATCTTCCTCTCAGGAAACGCCGCCAGGTGACTGGCACGACGCCTTGCTTACAAATGAGGGGCAGCCAAGGTCGAGCGTGGCACCTCAAAAGTCCCTGAAGAAAAGACGCTGTGAGCTTGAGCTAAGACATGGCACAGGTGGTGGGAGGAACACAGTGTTTGGTGAGACGAACGAGAACACTTACACGGAAAATGTAAATGTGACAGTTTGAGACTCAGCAGTTTTTCAATCACAAAGCCCGAGTTAAGGTTCTTTTGGCTTTATTTAGAGCAAGTCCCAGCGCCGGATGAGCGGCAAAGAACACAGAGATAGAGTTATCGTTCTAACACTTTATGTCTACTTTAAAGTAAAAAATTAAGTAGTTTCTAATTCTTTCAAAATACATTTAATTTTACATGCTTTAGGGAAGTTGCAGACATCATCATCATACATAAAAGCTCTTTAGTGCATCAGCCTTCACCACGGCTGCCTCCGTGATATCAGTGCCTCACACCCATCCTCGGTAACACTGTAGAAAGCACAAGGGTGGCCATTAGGGGAAGACTGGGTCAGGCAGTGGTTTGCGTTATTGAAAATGCACAGTGCTCCAGAACATTCACCGCCTATTCCCCACAGTTATTTTGTAACCCTCACAGGAAGACTAATAGTTTCCTTCCAGAATCGGCTTTAGGTTATGAAACTACGCTACGTAACACACCTTCACATATTCCTCTTTGATTTAACCAACCAATCAGTTTTTTAATGAGCTTGTTTTTGGCATGTCTGTGGTCATTCTCCCTACCCATCTTATTTCATCTATTTAAAATTCTCCCTCTCTTAGATTTTGCAGAGAGAACAGACTATCAAGAGTGAATTCCCTCGATAGCCCATCTCTCATCAACCCAAGCCCGCAGAACCCCTCCCTGTATCAGAGGAAGAAAGGTCCCCTGCCTACACCCCTGCCTACACCCGCCGGAAACTCTGGACTCCATCCTGGCCTCTGTCCTTCAGGGTCTGTCAGCTACACCTGCATCCCTATCTTGGTCTCCCCACTCCACCATTCCTTCCTCTCAGCACGTAAAGATGTTGAATCACTTCCTCACTTGGTTAAATTGTCGGGGAGGCAAATGTGAATGCTAAGTAAAGGCAGAGCTTGGAGGCAGAGGCGATGGGAGATCTGAGAATGAAGAAAAGACTTGGGTTTTATCACTGTCTTGGATTCCATTTTCTCAAGTGTCTCCAGGGCACTTCACTTCTTAAAATGTTGATGTTAGAAAGGAAATCACCTAACAAGGAGTACATTAATTCAGTGTTTAGACTGAGGATGTGTATGTTCAGTTCACAAAGGTTTCCTTCCCAATGTAAACCTAACTTTGCCACTTGAAAAAATATCATCCGGTAAAACTGGATGTTTCATTACATCGACACCCTGAAACAGACTGTTTCAAATGAAAATCAGAGCAAATTTTATATGAAATACTTCAGAGACTAACATATGTGGTATGTTTGATCTCTATTGCAAGATCACCTCAAATCGGAGCTTTAGAAAGACTAATCACAACTCTGAAATTCATAAAATATTATTAGTTGTATAATTTAACATAATATTTGAGGAAGTCAAATGATAACTTTAAAAGAAAATATTTATCCTTCACTTTTAGGAAACTAGTGCTGTTTTGGGGAAATTCTGAGAATAAAGGCAGTTAAGACTTAACATTAATTCTGAATTGTGTATATCTTGTATTCACAGTTCTACTGCCAAGAATACATTCTCAGCTACCACAAATGTACATATACTTCTTTTGATCCCACTGGCAAGAAAAATGTCTGGGAGTCAGGGAGAGTATCATTTGTTACCAGGAAGAAACTGGGAGGAGCAGCCGAGTATGAGTCACAGACGTATATGTGCGTACACACACCCGTGCACACACACTCCAGTTATTTTTATAAGATATTACTTATATGTATGTGCTGCAAGTATTCTTAGATTAATAATCATTATATATCTGTGACATTGGGGTAATTGAATTTAAGCTTACAAATTAAGGTTCCTTTGCTCAAAACTTGATTTTAGAAGTAGGCTATGTTCCTAGCAGTTGGTTAAGATGTCTACACTTGATTGTGGTTCATGGTACATATATAAATTTATAAATAGGCAAATACCAGAGATGTATTCATTAATTTATCTAATCTTTCTTAAACTTATTTATACTTGGCTTGGGTGAAGAATGTCATATTCATTGTTTACTAGAGACACTAATGCTTATTATTCCTAAAATTAAAGTTTTAGTAGTTAAAAAATTTTAAAGCAATTCCATTATTATTAACCCCATGATTTAGTAAGTTTGGATCAAATAATTTTCCAAAGTAGAGTTATAATCTTTTGGGTCCATTTTTATTAATTAGTGAATGTTCCTTTCTTAGACATTTTCTTGGCTGGCCCATTTATAGTTTGCATATGCTTCATAGGCAACCGATTAAGATGGAAAAATCAAATTTACTTAATTTTTCAAAAATAATTTCTATATGCCTCAAGATTAAAAGCTGCAACATGCAGAATTTCAGCAAAGTAAACAAAACTTCTTCAACTCCAGATCTATCAACTATAATTTGACTCTGAGAATATATTCATCTCAGTGTAGTCCTGGGTGATATAAAATATGTGAACCTATCTTGGAAGAATTCTGCACAGTGATATAACTTTATTCAAAAGGTAAAAAACAAATGGCAAATTTGAAGGAGTAGGAATGGGACTAATCTGTACAGAAACCGTTACACCAAACTTTTCAAAATTAAGTTCAGGTAGTAACTTGCAAACAAGGAAGGAATTATTCAGTGCACCTGATTTCCTTGTTTCCCTCAATCCCACTTGATGCTGCTGCTAAAGATCATACACCACATCCAGCTAAGCAAGCAAGTGAAAGAAATGTGATAGTCCCCGTAGTCCCTACGTTGGCAAGGATCCTCCCAAAGCGCGAGGCCCAGGGAGGACCCTCCCCTCCTCCTGAGCCATCAGATGTGCACAACTCTGGTCCTGGCCTCTTCCAGCTGTGGTGCCATGTCCTGCTGAAGTCCTCAGCTCTCATCTAGCTAACGTGACAGCCACCTCACAGCCACTCTGCTTTGAGTGTCCTCCAATCTTTCTGCTCACTGCTGCTGCTAAATGCTAATGGGCTCACACTCCCTGCTCAAACGTCCACTGAGGGCTTTCGCACAGTATTCAGAAGAGCACAAGCTTTGATAACAGCTGCAGTTGGCCACGCTTCCCTATCCCCACTCCTCTGGGTGCCACGTCAGGTTGGCTTTGCTCACCCTCTCTCCTGCGTCTATCCCTCAAATCAGAGCTCAGCGCCCCTTCGATTACCCTCCAAAGTACCGCTCATACAGGACTTTTTAATAGCATTGTAGCATTACAGTAATTGTCTAATTATTTCTCTTCAAACATCTTTTATCCTGCACAGTAGCTGGCAGGTAGCGACTGCTCAGTGAATCCTCCAGAGCTCACTTGTTTATTAATGTACTTGAGTTTGTTGGGGCCCACTGAGCCCCAGGCAATGTTTTAGGCACTGGGGGCCCAGTAGTGGACAAAGATAGACAAAATTCCAGCTCTCTTGGACATTTATACTCTGAGAGTAGACAAAGACAGTGGACAAAAGATGAAGGTGGATCAGCCGATCAGTGCTAAAGAGAAGACTGGGATACAGAATGGGAGAAGCGGGTGTGGAAGGGTTTTAAATGTGCGGCTAGTGAAGGCCTCAGTGACAAGGTGACTAGTGCTGAGGGAGGTCAGGCAGGCTGGGTGTGCGGAGAAGGGGGAGAATGCTCCAGGCAAGGGGCAGCGAAGGCCCAGCATAGGAACAGCGGGTGCATCGGACACCAAGGAAGCTGCAGGCGAGTTAGGGGAAGACAGGGGCAGCGGTGGGGACGTGGCATTTGTACGAACTAACATGGGCTTGAGAGCACAGTGGTGTTCACCCTGAGTCTGCCTGATCAACTATAGGAGCATGTGAAGGGGTAAGGTCAACCAAGTTTTCTTAGTCCCTAGACCAGAGCATCTCAACATAGAAATGGCAGGGTATTTTACTGTTTCGTTCATCAGAGTCATACAAATGCCACTGGCTCAAGAGCCTCTGTTACTTCTAAGTGAAACAGTGGGTGGCCCAACTGATGGTCTCTACAGTAAAACAGTAAAGCAAAAATCATCTTTGTTAGGCAGCACCAAGAGCACCGGGAGTGTTACGTCGTATGTGGCAGACTGAACTCTCTAACGCGCTTCAGAAAGCCACTATGCAAACAGTACATGGAATTATCAACCCACGTTTATCTTCAGAGCAGGGCACACAGAAATGGATGACTCTAAGAAATTATGCAACGACTGCTCTTTCCAGCTCATATACCCTGTATGTTTTCAAAAAGCCTTTGCCTTGATCATGGAACGGAAAACAATGAATGGATTTTTCAGACACTACTGATGTTAGCACAGATTTGATTGAGGTGCTAATTACTTAAACAGGATGCAGTTTCTAAGAGATGTGCTTTTGGGTGCCCCTTGGGAAATGTTTTAAGGCAAGCTCTGGTCGCCTGCTATTAGGAAATGA